CTCTCTCTGTCTCTCTCTCTCTCTCTGTCTCTCTCTCTCTCTCTCTCTCTCTCTCTCTCTCTCTCTCTCTCTCAGGGAGATAACAACGCACACGAAATCCTTAATTAAGTTTACACCATATGTGACTGATCGACAACCCTTCACCCGCTAAGCCGCCTGAACCCTTTGTCTTAGCTACTGGGGAGCAGAACACGAAGAACAAAACTGAAACAAAGCAAAGCAACAACAAAAAAAAAGAATTTACAAGACAAGCAGACACTGCTAGTGCGGTCAAAAAAATTCGTGGCGCTACCTAGTGTCAAATTTTCCTAAACTACAGAACATAGGCTCTCTAGCTTTTGCACAATGACTTGTATCAATTTGTCTTTGTTACAGATCAATATTTTTGTAACACTTTGTTAGCTGTATTCTAGAAAATTCATTAATTAATACCAATAAAATATCTAAGTGGGTGATTTCTACAGATTTTAAAAGGTTTACAGCTTCGACAATATCACTTGTCATCGTGACGTTATCTTATTGAACGCATGTTTTGAAAACCTTTAGTGCAAAAAAATCTGTTCATTTTAAAATCATTTTCTTGTAACAAGTTTTGCCACTAAAAAGTGACACTGGTGAGCTGTGACGTAGGCCATATACGCGTATGCAAAATGTGTGTGAGAAGCGGGAAATGCTCTGAACAATCTCATTTTCCGCGCGACGAAGATTTATACATGTAGTATTCATTTATACAAATCTATGAAGAAAAGCGTTTTGCTCTGGCCTCGGTTGTTGTGAAAAAAAGTATGATTAATTTAAGACAAAGATACAAAAATTGCTGTGCAAAGTATGGATGACATTGATTCATCCGTTAAAGAGATATTTGAGGATAAGTTGCGCCACGAAATTTAACCGCACTATAGGATGGCATGATACATGTAGTGCGTTGACCCAAAAATTACAACATGATATAAAACTCAAAAGGTGATCACAGACACAGAAAGAGGCCCTGAAGTGATCGTACTTGGAGGGTGCTCCTACCAAACATTTGTCGACCGTATCTCTCCTCTTTTTCTTTTTTTTTTCGCTTCTTGCATGTTATTGTTACTCTCAAGTAGCACCTGTAATCTTCGGCACCTACATGGCCCTATTGTGATGCAAGTGCCGTAAAATTCTTACCAAAATATGACTTAATTGGGTGCCAACGCACTTTCACCAGTACAATACGTTGACGTGCATGTGTACATCATGAAACCGTTGTAAATACCACTGGACAGAGCATTAATATATACGCTTAAAATCGTGAACAGAACATAACTCAATACAGTATGATAGTGTTCACCTCTCATCAACAAGGAATTAAAAACAAAACTGTTGTGGATTGTACATAATGTATAATTGCAATTTGTATTTTCCTTTAGACTATTCACCATTTCAAGACATTTGTTTTCATGAACCTTGTACATGTATTCCTCATTGATTTTTTTAAATGACGAAAACAATGACATTAACAGCCTTTACTCATCTTAGAGATTGAATAGTCACGTTGTCTCTCTCTCTCTCTCTCTCTCTCTCTCTCTGATTGCGGGTTCGGTAGTTCGATTCGAACCCCAGCTTGGTCCGACGTTGTGTCCTCGGGAAAGGCACTTTACACGAATTTCCCACTTGATACGGTCCTTTCGGAGATGGATGTTAATCTCGGAGGTCCCACGTCTTCTCTTTAAAAAACTAACAGTGTTGATAGGGTCGTTACACCTATACCATTATTTTCTCTCTCTCACACTAAAAAACAAACAAAAACCGCACTCACACACTTACACCCACACATGCACACACACACACGCACACACACACACACACACACACACACACACACACACGCACGCACGCACACACACACACACACACACACACACACACACACACACACACACACACACATTCCCACTCGCAAAAGCGTGCGTGCTTGCGTTCAAGAGCTTTCAACACTATACTATATTCAAGGCATAAATATTATGAACTAAATAAAAGCGTTATACAAGGTGCCCACTACGGCTGGATCGGGCCGATCGTCCGACTCGGTCGCCTGAAACTGAAAACAAACACGTATGTTTTTGAGGCGACCGATTCGGGCGATCCCTTCTATTGTGCAGCACTGGGCACCCCGTATTAACTGGTCACAGTGTGACTGCACTACTCCCCGGCCATGGCCAGCCATCTCAGCACGTTCTCAGACGACGGGAGTTTGCTGCCTTCTCCTGGAAGAGCAAGTCTTGAATTCCTGAAGAAGGAAATAGGAAGGTGATTTAGGCCTAAATGTATTACACTGTCGTGTGAGATGATTGAGAACGTCTGTTTATGCGTGCGTGCGCGCGCGTGTGTGTGTATGTGTGTGTGTGTGTGTGTGTGTGTGTTTTGGGGGTTTTTTTTGGTTGTTTAGGGGGGGGTAGGTAAAAAGGGATAGGGACCTCTACGGCACAGCCAGACTTTTGCGACACGCACACACACACAAACACACACACACACACACACACACACACACACACACACACACACACATAATCACATACACACACGTGTGGATGCACACACATACAAACACAAACTCGCATACGCACACACAGAAACACATAGGAGAACAGACATACATACAAATATATACAGAGACAGACAGAGAAAGAGAGAGAGACATAAGTGTTGAGTGAAAGACAAATACACAAACACACACACACACACACACACACACACACACACACACACACACACACACACACACACACACACATTCAGAGAGAGAGACAGAGAGAGAGAGAAAGAGAGAGAGATACGCACAGGTCTATACGTTCTTAAACTAACCGTTCTCTGACCGTCTAGACACAGGTACATGCACACAAACACAACACGTGCACCCTACACTCGATCAAATAAACAGACATTTAATTTCCACCCAAATAGACGCATCGGGAAAAGTCTAATCCTCAATCCTCAAACACCTACTAACTCAACCCTCGTACTTGATATTTCGCAATTTTATTGATCAGCTTGTCTGAAACTCAAACAAACTTGTCACAAGTCGAGGACTATAGTTGTTTCAAACAACTCAACGGATCAAAAGATGGTCACATTGTGAAAAGGAAAAAAAGAAAAGAAGCAAAACAGCGAACTTTACAACAGATAGATAAGATGGAAGTCGGACAATAGCCTACCGGCAGTGCCATCCATCCATCCACCCTTACGTCAAAATATTCCCACTTAAAGGACGTGTCCCACCTTGGGCCACATTATAACTGTTTATAAAATCGATATTTAGACTTATGATTTCGAATCGGGTATCCTATGTCGAAAATCATACTCTGCCACACAGGATACCATATTCGAAATAGTAAAAAATAGTATCATCTGAATCAACACCATCACCTGTGATGTAGTGGTTAGGGGCTTCGCCGTCGCACACAAAATACCTGAGTTCGATTCTCGTGTGGGGAAATTATCTATTTTTCCAGTATCACGGTCTTTTTGCAGGGACGTTGTATCCTCTCAGCTCGGATTTGCCTTGACAGGAAGAGCCAAGACCGCCTGCTTAATAATCTAAACTGTGTCGATGTGGGCGTAAAAATACCTTTATCATTTTTTAAAAATAACAAGAGTTTTCACTATTACTCATAAATCGAATTTCTTCCGATCCACCAACTCTATAGTGTCAGCGAATTTCCAACCTGCTTGGGGAGCGGGGAGAGAGAGAGAGAGAGAGAGGGGAGAGAGAGAGAGGGGAGAGAGAGAGAGAGAGAGAGAGAGAGAGAGAGAGAGAGAGAGAGAGAGAGAGAGTGAGAGAAAGATCCTTTTTTTTTTACTTGTACGTAAGATTAGTAATTTTACTCAAGGATTTTTGCTTTTATAAAAAGCCTATTAATTGACAATGCTTCTAAAGATGTGTGACTAGAATACTTCACCTTTAAAACACTGGAGCACCGCACCACTGTGGATTACCCCTTCCTTTGTTAGTGCTCTCGACCGGCATTCTTCCGTTGCTGCCTTTTCTCAGGCTCTAAACAGTTAAATTAATGCAGACCAACTATCAGTCAAGCCAGATTCGGATCGCCCAGCGAACAATAACTCTCGGCAGAGCTGAGAAAGACGGCGCAGGGCTTTGTAAGGCTAAGTCCCCTCTCAGCTTGATAAATCTATGGCTTGTCAAAAGAAGGTGTTTGCGCCGAAGGTGTTCAGCGGAGACTTGACTACAGATAAGAGACAGAGGTCGTGAAATTAAAGAAAGTAGCCTGAAAGACACGCGCAGGCATGGGAATGACAGACAGGGATTAACAAATCACAACTTTGGGGACTTAGGCAGAGCCAATTGTGAGGTTCTGGGGTTGTTGGGTTGGGGTTTTTAGGGGGGTTTTCTGTTGGTTGTTGGTTTTGTGGTTTTTTTTAGGTATGTGCCGTAACGGCTTCTGTGTATCACCGTCTACTCCAGGTTATTATCTCATTTCCTTTTATGTCATTTGAAGTTTTAGAAGATATTTTTAGCTGTCTGATAACTAAAATTCTATAAGTCTGAACAAACAAAGACAAAAAACACACAAAAATTCGGCTAGAGCTATTTGAAGTTTTCCCCCCTTGAGAAGACAAAGGAGACTAAAGAATAAAAAAGTGCGGGTGGAGCGTACAACATACTAAAGGTTAAAAGAGGAGAACATAAACAGGGGCAAAAAAATAAAGAAAGATTTTTTAGCCTTGGCTTAACAGTGGTAAATAGAAAGGCGTTAATAGAACGCAGAGAGAGAGAGAGAAACAGACAGACAGACAGACAGACAGACAGACAGACAGACAGACAGACAGACAGACAGGCAGACAGACAGACAGACAGACAGACAGACGGACAGACAGACAGACAGAGAAAAAGAAAAAGAGAAAGGTGTCCATGCTAGTGATGTGTGTGTGTGTGTGTGTATGTGTGTGTATGTATGTGTGTATATGTATGTGTGTGTGTTTGTGTATGTGTGTTTGTTGGGGGGGTGGAGTGTGGGGGTGTGTCAGAGTGAACCCTCTGATGTGCGACAACCTTTCAGGTTCAGATCCCCTCTAAAGTATCAAAAGTTGACTTAATCACTATTTTCCCATAAAATTCCTAAAGCCCTACCTCTCAAACCTGCTCTCCGAGAAGGGCCAGGTTGCTGAGCAGTCTATTTCATCAGACCAGCTCTGTTCAGACGACTCTGACGTCACGGAACTTCCTGTAAATGTTGTGTCCTGGGTCAGTGACGTAGAGAGGAAAGAGCTCTCTGAGTTCTCCGCATAAAACCGCGTTTGTGGAGGAAACCGCTGTAGGTTTCTACTCGGATATTCAGCTCCACGATTTTCTTTTCGGCGAGCGTTTTGTGGAAAGGTTTCCGTGACAAATCTTGAGTCGAAACTCTCAGAGATGCTCGTAGAATCCTCCGTTTCGCTCATTTCGAATACAAAGTTTCTACGCCCAGCTTTGTCCATTTGCCTGATGGCGCTTAATTTGTAACCAGAAGTTTGTCCATGAAACACATTACCCCGATTCCTGAGATTGGTGACGTTGGTTATTCCTTCTTTTTCTTTATTCAATTTCTTTGACTTTGGACAAGTGCGGAGGTGGCTTTTGTTTTGAGGAGTGCTCTGTGCTGCAAGAGGCTCCTCTTCGTATCGGTATGAAATTTTCCCAGGTACCCTACCCGTCTTAATGTTTCCGAATGGTCTCATCGGTGGATATTCATGAGATGAATTTTGAATGGAAGTTTTGCCTGTCAAACACATGAATCTTCCTTCTTTTTCCATAGCAGATTTTTGCTCAACAAATTCTTTGTTAGAAGTTCTTCCTCTGAACCGCGTAAAAGGGAGCGGGATGACTTCCCAAGATGGATTGCTTGTGGGCGCATTACCTCCATACAGCATGTCGCATTTCAAATCGACGTCCGCTAGAGAAGTACCCAGATACAGATGCTGAGGTTGCACCACTGTCCGGTGTTCGGCTACTGATAGATGGTGGGCTGGGACAAGGGTGCGAGTCTCTGATTGTTTTCTCGCAGACTCTGACGACGTGAGAAAACTGACGGAAGTTGAAGCCTGGGACAGATCTATGCCCCTGGAGGACGATATGGTGTGACAAGACTCCCGTTCATTTAGCTCATGAACTTCATGCACATGAGAACAATTTGACTGAAGCCCGTTTTGGCCATCGTTTGATTCACAAGAGGGAAGAGTATATATAGTTATGTCGCCTTCCTTGCCCAAACGTTCTGAATACTGTGGCGATGTCCACTTTATTGCTGCTATTTGTTCATGCGGTGAGGTAGAACTGTTATCTAACGGTAGGCCGAGCTGCCGGAGGCGACGAGAGTGCAACGTGGCCTGGATAATGCTGATGAGGTCGTTGTCGTTGACGGAAGACTGGACGGTGGTGTCGGAGGAAAAAGTCAAATTTTCAGCCATATTGGAGGTAGACGCGGTTGTGACGGTGGCGAGAGAGGTGACGTCATTGCCGTATGCCTGAGGCTGGGTGTCTTGCAGCAGGTTACAGCCCACGAATTTGGCAATCAGCCCAACAATGAAACACGTTAGAATGCCAATTACGATAATAAGTTTTGACACGTAAGGAAGATCAGATCCCAACAACCAAAACGATAAAAGAACAATGTTTTCAATAAGAAATAACGAATAAAATCCTACGTATCTACACATGACACGATCAATGTGATCGTCAACGAGATCTAGACAGTTGAGAATAGACATCCCTGTGTGGAATAAGAAAGCAGAACACATGCCATCACACGTTCTTTTGTTGGGTTTACGCCGTTTCGAGAATAATATTGACGTTGTCAACATAAAAATGAAATGAGCACAGATGGGCACAGCCACCCACCAGCTTGTCTGAACAGCCATGAAGGAAATACACATGAAACGAGGAGAAATAACGAGGAGTGTACCCACAATGGTCATGACGATGGCTGTGTACGCTCGGGAGTTGGTGGTCGAATCGCTGATCTTATTGGTCCACGAGTCAGTGTTCAACTTCCGGCGCAGGTTGTACGCCGTGATGGCCAAAGCAGACGAAACAACTGACGTCATCAATGACAACGATTGAATAACGTTGATTTTCTGAGCTCCCACAAACAACTCTGTGTACAACACTACGTACGGAGAGCTTTGAAAAGCCACGTGAACCAGCCGTATGAGTATCAACTGTTTCAATTCGAATTCGGAAAAACACAATATCAATTTGAATATCCTCCACAAATAGCCTAAATTCACCGCGTGGAGCGCACCAAACATGATTTTAGCCCCTTTGTTGCGACCAAAATTCATGGATGCCAGCGTCAGAACAGCCGACGTTACAGACGTCACCAGGAATGTGGATAGCGTCATCAATAATATTGTTATGGCGACTGGGTTGTCGGCGAGAGGCTGGGCGTGTGATGACATGACGACGTAGAGCTGGAGTATTGTTTCTGCGTACAGCGCCATCACACTGAACGCTACTAGCATCACCGCCATCGAGGAGGTAACCTGACCCGACCCCAATAGGGATAACCGTATAAGTGTATAATTTATTTTGTTATTTGAATAGGTCTGATTTGAATTGATTTTACAACTTTTAAAGTCCAATGTAAGCTACTTACGGGGGCTGAATTCTAAACATTATCATTCGTCTGTAATGAAATAAGTTGAAGACTGCGAACATTTTTCAAATTGTCCAAATAATTGGATTGAACTCTGGGTCACCTGCAGTTAGCTCAAAATGGCCTTACTGTGTAGAATTACAGTAAGCAATAGAGTTTACTGGAAAGTCATAACAAATTTCGTAATAACTTTTGAAAATGTGGGACTTGGGAGGGGTGGTATTTCAATTTGAAAACGAGTGAAATAAAACACTCCTCATTAAAGTTACATCAATTTCTAGACAAATAGAACAGAGCCTTGTGTGTTCATTGATCCTTTCGTATGTTCGTGATAAGCCTCTATTTCCCTTGGTAACTGTACACACAGTACCGCCCTGTTAATACCTGATCCCAAAATTAAATCCGTTTAACTGTAAATGCGTTCAGTGAAATGTACTCCTTTCCAAACCGGTCCTTGAATCAGCGACGGTCAGCATTCCACAATAAGCAAAGCCGATAATAATAACAGAAGAAAAAAAAACCCCACAACAACCACCTCTAAGCGCAAGGACAGCTGTAGCCCCCGATGTAATGCATTTTCCCCCATGGCACACGTCAGGAAGGGAGCTAAAGAATGCACAATCCATTGCAGTGATCCGACATTACCGCAGGACACCCAGTAAAATTCAGGCGGCACGAGCCCATTATCCACTTCTCACCTGGAACACAACGCTGATTGCCCTCTCGAGAGGACTAAACTATTCTTTTTCTTGTTTCCCTCCCCTCCCATTAAGGGAAAATTCGCACTGATCCGATTGCGTGCCCTTTGCAGTTTTTTTCGTTAACTCTTCTTTTGCCAACAACTTTCCTCATGCCTTGTGATTTGAATTTAATTACGGTGTAGACGTATTTAGAGACCTAATTACTGAGCACTCTGCTCTGAAGGCGCCGAATCTTGTTGGTTTCAAAAGGCTGAAAAGGCCATTTAGAAGCAGGAGCTGAATGCTGTCCTTCTGGTGAACCGCATGTCCGTGAAGACGAACAACCATGAACCTTTTTTTCTGTGGAAACAACAATAATATTACTCGGTTTACTCTCGGTCAAATTTAATTTTCTGAATGCAAAGTCCCATTTATTCTATAGAACGACACAATTTGGGCAGGTTGTGAGGATATCTGCGAAGCTCATCGACATAAATAGCAGGTGGTTTAGTGCAAGAAAACAGGAAAAAGCAAAACAGTCAGACAGAAGCAATAAAGAGAAAGAAAAGATGTAGGACCTGCCATTTCGATTAGTTAGAAGGCGGTCTTCTTCGATCTTGCATACTAGCACCAACCATTGCAGACCGGGATATAATAGCATTCCTAAAGGAGAATAATATACTCGATTTAACAGATAAAAACGTCGCAAAGAATCGAACTCATACCTGCCCCGAGATCTCGAGAAGGCAAAGAGCTTATCTGAAGTCTAATTAATTGTTTGTTAATGAAAGGTTAATTTTGAACTTGAACTGCAACTGCAATGTCATTTTACTCTGTTATTTTTTTCGTGCTTTTTGAAGAGAATGGGAAGGTGGAAAAAGAGAGGGACAATATTGCAGTAGTTGCAGGGAAAAAATGAATGTTGTCTAAGTATTTCCGATTATCATAGACATGTTTGCACTATGTAACCTTTGGACATGGTTCGGGCTTAGTGCTAGTGTCGATTCAAATGCATTATTTTTTAAAACATTCATATATTATATACACACGCGCAAAAAAGGAGATGTGAATATATATAT